TCACTTTTTCGTTTTCAATTGAAACGCAAAACCTATTTTTCATCACCTGTAAAAATACGATGTCAAAATAAATATTTTGCATTCCTTGTTAAGATTCTAACCCAGATGATTAACATTCTTTCTATTGTTGTTCACAATGACGGTCGTCTTTGAGTTTAGAATCCAGAGGTTAGCAGTGAAATATTTCGAAGACGGTAGGGAAGCGTATTTCAGGTTAGCAGTGGATATCTCGGTAAAGTAGCAGAGCGTAGTTCAGTAGTTATCCCCTTCTGTTCCTCTTCGCCTGACAAGCTGGCACTGGACATTCGGAGAGAGTAAACAAAATGGCCGCCTTTATACACGACGGAGTCAAGTCATTTTGACTGGCACACTAGTACATATTACCCCAAAACCTGCAACATCTATTTCTCAAGAAAAAGTTCATGAAGAAGCCACATTCCCTTCTGAAACTCTGACATTGACTCTAAACGAAACGGACGCTAGAAGATATCAGAAACTCTAATTCTAGACGCATTTCCTTACCATTCATTCCTGGTCCTGTTTTGGTTGACTCATAATTCATAGCGGTGGACTACGTAATTACTGTTCTAACACACTAATATATATATATATATATATATATATATATATGTGTGTGTGTGTGTGTGTGTGTGTGTGTGTGTGTGTGTGTGTAAATTATTTTCATATAGAGTGACTCTCTAAAGGAACAAAATGAATAAAAAGACAAGAGAAAAAACTATTAGCAGCCGATGTGTTTTGTCCTCTAAGGGACTTTATCAAAGTATATATCTTCTGAGAGACTTTATCATGACATTGGCCTTGCGATAGTCCCTCGGAGGACGAAACGCGTTGGCTAAGGATATTTTTTCTCTTGTCTTTTTATATATATATATATATATATATATATATATATATATATATATATATATATATATATATATATGCGTATGTGTGGCAGGGCTGTTATATATATATATATATATATATATATATATATATAGGAAGAAGAAGTTGAAAATACAACTGGAGCCGTTGAAAATATTTATTTACAGTAACTTCAGCGGTTTCACAGTTCTATGATTTCCAAAATTTAACCAGAGACGGAGAAGCATGTTTTATTAAAAAATAAGGGTTCAAATTTCTGTTTGAAATACAAGCTGATTGGTTGATTATGATCACCTGATCAGTATATTAAAATTTTAGCTGTCACGTGATATCAACTTTCTTTTTTGTTTTCCTAATATATATATATATATATATATATATATATATATATATATATATATATATATATATATTATAAGCATTTCGCCCCAAGCAATTCTGGGACGCCACTCGTAGGCAAAGTGTTACAGAGAGTGAAAGTAAGGTAAAAGGCTGTGTATAGGGGGGATTGAGAAAAGGATGAAAAGAAGAACGTAGAAGGATAAAAAGATGAACATGGGTCAAGGCATCAGAAGATGTCGATTGTCATCAAATTTAAATCTTTGAAGATTATAGTTATCAGGGAAACAAGTAAGAGGAAGGGAGTTCCACTGTCGGGAAGTGTGAGAGAAGAAGCTGTTGCAGTAGAAGAGGAGGTTATATTTTCACTGTTTTGACAGTAAAATTCAGATTCTACTGTGTGTTCTGTCAGAATTTCATATATTTTGTTATATGGCTCATTAGGCTGATTGTCCGATGGAGTTCACATTCGTTTAAACCTGCTTCCCTCGGCAGTGCTATGAAAATAGATCTATGAAAATATATATATATATATAAGCATTCACCCCTAACAAGGCGGGAGTGCCGCTAGTATGCAGGGGGGCTACAGAGAGTGGAAGTAAGAAAAAAGACTGGCTGTGTAGGGGGGGAATAAAAAGAACGGGGATCAAGGCAACAGGAGATGTCGATTGACATTACATTTAAATTTTTGAAGATAATAGTTATCAAGTAAGCAAGTAAGAGGAAGAGAGTTCCACTGTTGGGAAGTGCGAGAGAAGAACATGATGAAGCAGAAGAGGCGGTTACATTTAATTGTTTCGACAGGAAAAGGGTGGGACCGAAATGCCAACCTAGTAGCACGTTTAAATTCATGCAGTCGGGGCACCAGTGAAAGTAGGCCGTCAGAAGAGATGCCATGAAAATATCTGTAGAAAAGACAGAGTCAAGCCACATCGTGTCTGTGGGTAAGTGACCGCAGTCGAGATGCCATGTCAGGACCGATCACATTGCATATCTTTCTTTGGATTTTGTCGAGAACCTCGAGAGGAACAGCAGGGGCACCGGACCAGACATGGCAACAATATTCAATGCACAGACGAATGGAAGATTTGTAGATATGAAGGATGGACTCAGACGAGAAAAACCTTCTGGTGCGACACAGGGAACCAAATTGCCTTGCGGGTAGAGGCAGCCATTGATTCAATGTAGTTGTTCCACCCCGGGTCAGTGGAAAACCTGAGAACAAGAAGGCGTAGTGAGGCGCTCTCGTCAAGTTGAGCATTGGCGTGAGTTTGTGTGTTTAATTTTCATGTACTTTATGTTGTTTTTGTTACAATTTTTGGATACATTAGACTACTAGTGAGCCAACCCAAATGACTTGACTCACTTTATAGCCCACCAATAGAAGGTTAACCAATCAGAAGACGCAAAATATTCAATCCGTCGTGTATAAAGGCGGCCATTTTGTTTACTCACTCCGAATGTCCAGTGCCAACTTGTCAAGCGAGAGAACAGAAAGAAGAACTACTGAACTATGCTCTGCTACTTTTACCGGGATATCCACTGCTAACCTGGACTACACTTTCCTACTGTCTTCGAAATATTCACTGCTAACCTCTGGATTCCATACTCAAATACGACCGTCATCATGAATAACAGTTTTGATTTATTTCCTATTCACATCCTGAAGATACGTCTAGACTAATTTAGAAGTATGTTTTGGGTCAGTCATGAATAAGTTTATTTTCACACGTTATTTTCAGATTCTTAACAGGCCTTTACGAATTTTCATGCAGTATTTTCAAGTTGTCATATTTTTTGTTCGTTATAGCATTTTTATTCCTTGCTTTCCAGCTTTGTTTTACAGCCTTGCTAGATTGTCGTTCCTTTTGCTAAGAAAATACCCTAAAACAGTGCTTCTTAACCTTTTATTTTTTTTCACTCACGGACTCCTTTAGTGACGGGCTCCTTGAGTCATGGACCCCTTTAATTTCGGATTCCTTGAGCCAAGGACCCCTATAAGTATTACCCTTTCATAGGCAGATAAACAGATAAGCAGATACTCAGCCTAATTGGTTTTTCACAACAATTGTAGATGCATTTATACATAATGCACCTTCATGCATACTAGACACATATCACTTTTCAGCTAACCACGCTTGAAAGAAATTTTGCTCAATTAATGCTCACCAGCATATGTGAAGATAACCAAGTGGGGATAAACCGTGAAAAATGAGAATTATCACTTGCCTCTTATAGAGTGGGGAAAATGGCGGTCGTGCAGGGAATAATGTCACACGTTACAAATAAACAAAAATTGCAAACTTGCAAAAAGCTTTATTTTTCAATATTTTGTATATATATATATATATATATATATATATATATATATATATATATGGGAGGTGGTGTAATGGAATATATATATATATATATATATATATATATATATAGATATAGATATAGATAGATAACTAGACTCGTTTTTGAAAAAAACCCTCGAATTTTGATTTGCTAATCAAATCAATCTCGAGGGAAAAAAGGTTTTAAAAAGAAAGAGCTACAAACATGAACTTCTGTCGACAAAAAATCGCACAGATGCAGGTCTGAAGCCCAAAGAAAAAACCCCGATACGAGCTTGACTTTCCCTGACGATCCGTTTATGTGAAACCTAGGTAGGTTTGTCTGGCTCACTAGGTGTATCTATCTATCTATTTATCTATCTATCTATCTCTCTCTCTCTCTCTCTATATATATATATATATATATATATATATATAATAAAAAGGCTTAAACACTAATATTTCATGGTCATAATTTATTCCATTGGAATCGTAAATACGATCCAAATCATCAGACCTACAAATTCAAAATGAAAACAGAAAAAACAACTCCGGAAATCAAAACAGAATTTAGAAAAAGTGTAAGTATGAGGAGGAGGGAGATGAAACCTTAACAGAGAGAATTTTAGGAGATGTGGGGGGGAATTAAAAAGAGGAGAGAAAGAAAGTCGACGGATGTCTAATGCATAAAGATACATTTCGTGGTGGCATATACACACCATAGACAATTAGAAGTTAGGAGGTAGGGCAAAAAAATATATATATATATATATATATATATATATATATATATATATATATATATATATATGTCGCTAAACTCGTTCAAAAATATCTAACCTACCAACCGTACAGAACCACTTTCTCAGATTGATGGTTAAAGATGGCTTCGAGCAAATGTAGCCTGTAGATCTTAGCGATTACCTTCCTTATCGAAGATTGTAGACTGGCGCTACATAATCGTAAAGAACTCTACCAAATAACGAAAACCACATCACTTAGGGACTACCAACTGCGGAAACAGCAGAAATGAATAGCATATGTAGCTCGACGAGAAAATAATGACATAATGTTAACGTGCTAAAAAACTTCGATGAAAATATTAGGAATAAAAACCCATCAATACTGGAAAGAGTGATACCAGTTAATGGACATGAGAAACCTATTTACCTGGGAAATTATTTTGATAGAGACATTGTATAAACTTCAAACGACCTTAGCACTTGCTGCTCGGTCAATTAATACCGAATGATTCCTTATGAGGAAGCGGCTAAAGTTACCATTCCCATTACCTTATAAGAATAAAATAAAATAACGGGAGAGCAATACGCCGGAAGCCGTAAAAACTGATTCTTGGATGTGTGTTTGTTGCTTGCAATTATCAATCGGGTATTTTTTCGAAACATTCCACAAACTTCAAGAGGACTGACTTTTTTTTTTATAGGTCTTTAGTATATGTTTTTGATCATTTTATTTTTTTTGTCTACGTTCTTCTCTGTCTTTATCTCTCTTTGTCTCTTATTATCTCTCTCTCTCTCTTTAAGTTTGTCTGTCTTTCTATCTCTCTCTATTTCTATCGCCCTGTCTCTTTCTTCTATCTGTTTGACTCTTACTCTATATCTGTCTGTTTGTCTTTCCCTCTCTCCCCCTCTCTCTCCCTCCCTCCCTCTCTCTTTCTCTCTCTCTCTCTCTCTCTCTCTTTCCGTGTCTCATTCTGTCTCTCTCTCTCTAAAAAAAAAAAATTTGATTTTTCTTTCTTTCTCTAAATATCTGGTCTTTTATTTCCTACCATATTTGTTTCATCGTTTTTTTTTTCTTCTTCTTCTTTTACCTCTTTCATCGTCTGATGTTACCTTTCTTTCTTTCTTAAGTTTTCATTGTTTCTCTCATTCTTTTTTTCTCTCTTTCATTTTTGTTTTTAAGCGGTATCACCCCATGGAAGGCTGTAAAGCCACTAAGACACACAGACTTACAGGGTGTGAAAGAATTAGGAACAGAAATATCAATAATGAGCGGCAGGGGAAAACTGTAATCAGGAGGGTAGTAGATAGCGATTGACATTGCATTTAAATTTTTACTTTCTTTCTTTCATTCTGCCATTCCTTCTTTTTTTACTCCCTTTCCTTCTCTATCTTATTCTGCCTTTCAGTCATCTTGTCTTAAATAATTTCATAATTTATTTCGTTCTTTCTGCCATTCTGTGTTTGTTTGTTTCTTTTTAAATTTTTATTTTTCTCTTTCCCATTATGATTCAGTCTATATTTCTTTTTCCTTCACTATTTTCCCCGTCTCTGTCTCTCTCTCACTCTCTCTCTTCCACTATTTCTCTTCTTTTTAACTTTCTTTTTCCAAATATCCATTTTCATTTCACTTAGTTTATGCTTCCTCCTCCTCCATCACCTCTTTCTCCTCCTCCTCCTTCTTCTTCTTCTTCTTCTTCTTCTTCTTCTTCTTCTTCTTCTTCTTCTCTCGCTACTGTTTTCTTTCCTTTTCGCTTTCTTTATTTTTCTTCCACATTGACATCTACTCACTTTAATGATTTCTCTTTGTCTTCTTTTTCCACTCTGCTATTTTTTCCATACTTTTCTTGTTCTTCACGTTTTTCCCCACCGACTAAACGTTTTCATACCTCGTACTTCCTTTCTCGTTAGATCAATTACAACTGAATAGTGAGTTCGATCCTCACTAGGGGTCCCATACTTTCGGCCTTGTGTCACATCTACGCTTAGTAAATTACTATTATAACAATAGCGCACTTCGACCTGATCTAATGGTCAACAAGATTGTCTTGCTAGAGAAATTACGACTATGTAATGAGTTCGATCCTCAATGGGCGCTCCTTACTCTAAGCCTTGTGCCAAATCCAAGCTACGCTTAGAAAAAAAACATAATATTTCTTTCTTCCTGAATCTTGCACAGTTTTACTTCTCTCTATTCTCATATTTCCTTTTTTTTCTCCTCTTTCTCCATCTTGCTATCGTCTTCCTCTTCTTTAGTCTCGCCCGCACATCTAGATGTTTTCCAAACTACTCCAAACACACTTCAAGTATTTCATGGTTTAGAGTCTCATTGATTGAACAGACGACAATCGGACTTCATTATGTTTCGTATACCGACGTTGACGGTGGCTCAGTGCGGAGATACCGATCGAAAGGTCTATGTGTTGTTGAATGCTTAACTGCCCAACGGTCGGGTATAGCAGCATGGCCCAGAAAAATCTTTGCCAAGACAGTTGATCACTCGACCAATGAATTGATTGAGCATCTCGAAATAGATGCTGGAAAAAGGTCTAAAGGATGGGTAGGAAATACAAGATAAGAGAAGATGAAACAGACGTTCAAAAAGAACATTTTTAAGAGTAAAAAGCAAATGAGAAAATGAGGAAAAAAAAGAAAAGTAAATATTAAAAGAAGATCGAGGGAAAAATATAAAAAAGAAAATGGCGCCAACAAAGATTGCTTCGGAACAATTCTCGCCTGCCATTTCATTTCTTCTTCCTATATATATATATATATATATATATATATATATATATATATATTGCTGTTTTGAAAAATATTTTTAATTATTTCTTTTATCGTTTGTCATTGTTGTTTGATAAACTTTGGGACACTAAGAAGAAGCTTACATAAACTAAGAATTCAAACAGGAGGAAAACAAAGAAAAACAAACAACAGAATAATGGCCGACGTGAAGATAGGGGCACAAATAAATGCAGAGGAAGACGAAAGAATAAAAATGCTGGGCCTGTCACCTCTTCAAAAACAAAAGACTCAATTGAATTTTCGCTTGAATAAGTCCAGGACACTTGTGGATATTTGAAATGTCTGAAAAACCAAAACTGATAACATGTCATTAAACTGTTTAGAAACGGCAAAAAAACGGCACCCACACGTCAAGTTGCGAACTAGAGAGAATAACTTTTCATTCATATATATATATATATATATATATA